CGAAGAATAGGTGGTGAGGTCAGCAGGCGGCGGAGCTGGCGAAATGCGTCGTCACATGCAGGTGACCATGCAGATATGCCTTTGCTGTTGGAAAGCAGACTCGTGAGAGGTGCGATGATGGACGCGAAGTTGCGCACGAAGCGACGAAAGTAGGAGCAGAGACCGACGAAACTTCTTAGGGCTTTCAGTGATGTGGGCAACGGAAAGTCAGCGACAGCTCGAAGCTTATCGGGATCCGGAAGAACACCGTCTCTGGTGATGACATGTCCCAAGATGGTTAGTTTTCGTGCTGCGAAGTGGCACTTCTTGGAGTTAAGTTGTAGGCCTGCAGAAGTTAGACACGTCAGAATCTCGTGGAGGCGAGCAAGGTGTGTCGGGAAATCAGATGAAAAGACTACGATGTTGTCCAGGTAACATAAGCAGGTTTTCCACTTGTGGGCACGCAAGATGGTGTCGATCATGCGCTCAAATGTGGCAGGCGCGTTGCAGAGCCCAAATGGCATGACTTTGAACTCATATAGGCCATCCGGCGTTACAAAGGCTGTTTTAGGGCGATCACATTCAGCCATTGGCACCTGCCAATACCCACAATGCAGATCCAAAGATGTAAAGTACTCGGCGCCTTGTAAACAGTCAAGAGCATCGTCTATTCGTGGTAGCGGGTAGACATCTTTTTTCGTAATATTGTTTAAGCGGCGATAGTCCACGCAAAGTCGTACGGTGCCATCTTTTTTCTTGACCAGAACCACAGGTGATGACCAAGCGCTTTGAGAAGGCTGTATGACTCCACGTTTAGCATGTCATCTACTTGCTCCGTAATGACGCGGCGCTCTTCGGCGGAAACGCGGTAAGGACGCTGTCGCAGAGGCGAATGTGAGCCGGTGTCAATAGTATGAGCGATAGTCGTGGTGCGGCCCAAAGCAGGTTCTTGAAAGTCGAAAAAAGAACGAAACTTGTTGAGGAGAGCAACAAGTTGGCGGCGATGCGAGAGGGGAAGGTCTGCGGCAATAGCATTGTCGAAGGCTGACGAACTTGATGGCTCAGACGCATGAGTGATTGCAGCAATGTGACATGGCGTTTCGTCGGGAAGAATAATATCATCGATATGGTCGACAGGTTGCACATATCCTAACGTTTCACCACGAAGTAAGCCAATAGGGTAGTTGCAGTGGTTGGTGACCAGCATTACGGTTAAACCAGACGCAATTGTAAGAACAGCAAATGGGAGAACGATGCCCTTGCGTTCAGTAAAAACCGGAGATGGCGTAAACACCACCGTGCCGTCAGGTTGTGCCAGACATGAAAGGCTAATAGGGACCGAAGCTTCAGGAGGCAAGGTGATGTCGTCATCAGCGATGACTTTGCAGAGCAGAGGAGAGCGGTCGGGTGGTGGAAATTCACATGTTGGCACAAGGGACACTTCGGCACGGGAACAATCGATGATAGCTTCATGACGTGATAAGAAATCCCAACCCAGGATAAGGTCATGAGAGCAAGATGGTAGAACAAAAAACTGTACGACGTACAAAACGTCTCGGATGACGACGCGCGCCGTACACACAGCCGAGGGATGAATGCGTTGCGCGCTAGCCGTGGACAGCACCAAACCACTGAGAGATGTGGTCACTTTCTTCAGTTTCCTACACAAGTTTGCGTTCATCACAGAAACGGCGGCCCCGGTATCAATTAACGCTAATGTGGCGACTCCCTCAACATCGACATCAACAACATTTTGCGGCGAAAATGGAGGCCTTGGGAATTGCACACAAGTTGCAGTTCTTGCCTCCGGAACTGCACTGATTAGTTTCCCTCCTCAAGAGGTGGTCGACGACGCATAGGCGATGGCGATCGGCGACGAGGTGATGGGAAACGAGAAGTCGATGGGTGGCGATCCGAGTCGGAGTGCCTCTGTTCATATGCAGACGTGGTGGTCTGCTGCGGTGCGTAGGTAGGAGCTCCGAAGTATGCGTGCGCAGGCGTGGGACGGCGGCGGCAGAAGCGTGCAATGTGGCCAGCGATGCCACACGCGAAACAGATGGGACGATTGTCTCGGGTGCGCTACTCATTAGATGGACGGAAAAAGCGAGGTGGGGGCCTGTAGACTGGAGGCGAGGCCGGAGGAGGTGGAGCCGATAAGGCGACTGGATGCGGTGGGGGCCGCGCGACCACAGCTGCGTAGCTGAGAGGTGAAGGCGGCGCAGTTGGTGCGTAGCCAGCAGTTGAGAGATCAGATGGCACCGAAGTGCACGGGTAAGAGGCCGGAACTGTAGGGAGTGCATTGCAAATTTCAGTGCGTATGGCCTGCTGCATATTCGAAGGGAGGCTTGTCGTGGGCGCGTCACTATGCGGCAGCAGGGAAAGCTGTCGGGCGACTTCCTCCCTGATGAAGTCTTTAATCTGGTTCGACAGAGTTCCTTGGTGAACGTTGCCATTGGCGAGTGCGACGGCCGAGATCGAATCTGGTGATGGAACACTCTGTCGGGCGATGGAACGCTGACGACGCAATTCATCGAAGCTCTGACACAGGCTTACGAGGACTGCCACCGTGGTCGGGCTCTTCGCCAGCAACATCTGGAATGCGCCATCCTCGATGCCTTTGAGAATATGTCGAATTTTCTCTTCTTCAGGCATGGATGAGTTAACACGCCTGCAGAGGTCGAGCACATCCTCAATATAGCTAGTAAAGGTCTCACCAGGTTGCTGGGCTCGGTGGCGCAGACGCTGGTCAGCGCGGAGCTTGCGGACCTCTGGTCGGCCGAACGCTTCGGTCACGAGGGTCTTGAAGGTGGACCAGCTGGCGATGGCGGTTTCGCGGTTGGTGAACCATAGCTTGGCGACGTCAGCCAAGTAAAAGATGACATAGGCAAGCTTGGAGTCGTTGTCCCATTTGTTGCTGGCACTCACGCGTTCGTACAAGGAGAGCCAGTCTTCGACGTCTTGCTCACCACTGCCGCAGAAGATTGGTGGGTCCCGCTGACGGGTAGCACCGGGGCAAGTCGACGGGGCAGCCGATGGTGCTGGCTGTGCTGGGATGGGCTGGTTGGCGACTGCGTCAGTCATGTTGTACGGTAGTCTTTCGGCCAACTTGCGAGAGCGGAGCTCCAGGTCTGCTTAGGGATCTCAGCAGCCTCCACCAAATGCGATGATGTTTATTAGAACAGAGGAGTCGCAACGAGGTCGCGACGGAAAATGGGCGAACAGCAAGTCTGGCAAAGGCGGCACAGGTTCTCGCGCAATCAGAGCACGGGCTTTTCGTTGTCTTCCGAAGGCGCATACGCGTTGGTGCGTATGCTCCACTACACTTAGTTTATTTAAAAGAAAAAAGAGACGCTGCCTTTGAGCGCCATGGGAAACGTTTGGACGGTAGGCTTTCGTCTCCGGGTGCCAGCTGTAAGGAAGTCTCATTCAACGACGCGGCATGGCAGAGGTGATAAGTTCTGGATACTGATATATCAGTCTGCAGCAGCGTCGTTGAGTCTGGTGTAGTAAAGCTGCTGCTCCAGGGATAGTTTCCAGCCTGAAGCACGCAGCTCTGCAAGTTCGAGTAGGGTCAAGCGAGCTTTCTCGGGAACATCCGGCGACAAGAAAGCGTCCCGCAAGCAGGCCATCAGCGCCGCCATGCGGGCAGGGGCACCTCGTTCAGCAGCTTCGCCGGCTGTAGGTAGTGCTGTGCGGAGGCATTCGACCTGCAGTGAAAGTTCTGAAAATTTAGCATAATCGTATGAGCGAATGTCACAGTATCTTCGCACTTTCTTTGTCATGTATTATTTTGTAGTCAGTAAAAATGTGTAGTCCAACGGAATAAACAATTATCCGCAGCTATAAATCTTCAACTGACAACCTTACGAAGGCTGATTAAACAGCGGGAGTGATGGCATCAGGTCGTCATCGCTTGGCGCCTCATTCCTGCTCTTTCCCCAGCACCGCCAGTACTTGAACGCGCACTACCATTGATGGACTTCTTTTGCTGGCAACGCCGTCCACTCTGCTACTCCCTCCTCCTCCCTACACCACGTGTTCTAATCCCGCCATAGCTTCACCTTCGCCCTCCTACCCAACCAAGTTCACCAGCTCCACATCGCTACGCTTTCTCTGTAGCGTGCTCAACCAACACCCTCTAGTGACTCAACTCATAATTAACACGAATATTATCTGGAGCTCTTAGTCCCAAAACCACGATATGATTATGACAGACGTCACAATGGAGGGCTCCGGGAATGTGGACCATCTGGTGTTCTTTAAAATGCGCTGACATCGCACAGCACACGGGCCTCGACCATTTCGCCTCCATCAAAATGCGATCGCCGAGGACCGGCTCGACTCGTGGGACTCCACTCATTACAGTAGACTCCGTTGTTACCCTCATATATTTGCCCACACACTCCACCTGGGCTAAAAAGTGGGGACGACCGATTCCCAGGGTTTTATCGCCGATTTTAAACAGCCTCGCCGTTAAAAAACCTGCCCAAAACACGAAGCACTAACACGAGCTCACCATTGTACCACATCGCCAAGCCAGTGCAGGAAACGTCTTGGAGAAAAGACCACATACCGGTAACAAGTGATGCTAACCGATGCAACAATGCGTCGAAGAAGCATACAATTGCACTGCCAGTCGCGCTACGTCAATCAGTAAAGAGCGGATGCTTGAGCGCTACGGACACGTAACAATGGGCTGAGCCATAACTGATCGTCAATCACAACACAAACAATATATGCAAAATTTCGTCAATTCGGATTTTGTGGGACCAGCCAAAAATATGAGAATTCACCAAATGTCAAAAACATCGAAAGTGATGAGCAAACCATAAGGATAACGTCTGTTTTATATACTTTCACTTTGTGCATGGATACGTGAATGCTGCACTTATCTCGTATACGAGCAGCGTGAAAGCAGCAGACTTTCTTCATTTTGGCATTTTATTCACAATGCATGCGACAAAGGCGCCACATTCACTGTTTTTTGTTTAGTCCGAAACGTTTTCTTCACGCCTCCCTTATTGCGCACTGCATGCCACCATTACCACCATTACGCGCATGTGACAATAGTCTCCTTACGGGTAAAAACGGCCGGTAACTGACGGTTGGCCTATCACGATACAGAAAATACGTTTGATGCCAGCCTGCCGACCGAACCTCAACGCTCTTCATCACAAACCTCTTACGCGTGCATGAGTTTTGCGACATGGCGCGTGTAGTGCATCATGTTAAAACGAAGCTGCGGTCTCACAAATTCGTATGTGGATGAAACCGTGGTCACTAACTGCATGATTGAAATAGCAATCAACACTGCGCAACCTTGTTTCTGTGACCTGCGAATGCCGTTTTTGTTTTTTTGACTCGAACATTTGGGGCCTTTTGTGCTCCAGGGACTTATAGATCGTCTAAATGTGCCCACATTACCGAGTTTTGTGTAATCAAACAGTGAGTATGCTGGCCGAAACAAAAGAGCACGTCTAAAGTGTCCCATTTTCCTCATTGACGAGCTTTTACTGCATTTTTAAATACATGGGTGCACACGATACCTTATGCAAAAGACTAGTGGGCTAATCGTTAAAGCGTAAGATGTTGATTAATCTCGGCTTAGTAGGCACTTCGCAACCACACTTCTCTAGGCTCACCAAAAAAGTTTACGGTGCGCGTGCCCTGGAGCAAGCCATAGTGGTTGTGGTGATGATGATGAGTACATACCTTAGCTTCGCAGTCCAGCTGAGGCGAGATCATTACAAGCCTGCAGGAGTCGCACAGAAGCACCGCCATAGAGACGATGTGTCCGGAGTGAAGCGAGCCCATCGATGCAGCTCCTGGATTTCTAGGGACGTCCGACAGAAGCACGGTCATGAACTTTACGAAGGCGATCAGTTTCTGACCGGCATTCTTCCGAGTCTTCGGCTCCAGTGGCACCCAAAAAGTGGATCTTGGCAGCGGAATGTCGACTTGTTTGAACCAGTTGCGGCAGGTCCACAACAGTCGATCTACGAACCTCCCGTTGAACTCAGCCTGTGGTATTATCCAAACAATAACAGCACGGAGAAGTAAACAAATGTATATGCAATCAGTAGACGGCAAACAAAAATTGTTCTTTACGCGAAAGCGTAATGAACTAGCATATAAGGATTCGGCTCAGCTCAGAAGTCGACGATCGAAAACGGTATATCCCGCGGGCCATGGACGCTACACGGAGGCAAAATATCCCAGCCTCTATTAATAGCTGGGTGATCTATCACGGACCAGCCGAATCTCGCAATAAATTGTCTTCTCTCATTTCCATCAGTAAAGTAAAATGTTCAATGGATTTCAGCAAGACGTGTATGACTAACGAACGTTATCGCACCTTCTGCTTGCTGTTATGATTTTTTTCTGATATTTGCTCAGTGAAGCGCAGCGGAGAGTTGAGTACCTGCCCTGTGTGCCTCTTGTCTATGCCGCGTCGCAATGCGCTCATCCCTTTCGAATCATATTGATAGAGGGGCTTAGCATAGAGCTTGCAAGGCCTTCGTGGAACACGCAGCACAGTCACAGCAAAAGCTGGAAAAACGGCCTTTCTGGAGTCTGTTGATGACTCTCTTGTTGCAACTAACACAAGCTCTTCTGGGATGTAGCCAATATACGACAAATATTTTTTGTGATACAGAAAGTACGCTATATAAAATTATTCGTCAATGTGCGACGAAACGTCGAGGCGCGACACCTCTGTAAGGTGATATGAGCGCTTGATTCGTGCTGTGGCTAAAGACGATGAAGAATTATAGCTTAGCCCTTAGAATCGGTTCGAAGAACTGAACGACCGACTCGCCTTCCAATTTACATTGTGTCACATCACGCTGTATTGCACGTTAACGTGATTCCATGCTCGACTTGACGCTAACATAGGGTCTTTGTGTGAATGATATTCACATGGCTCTGGTTTGGAATACTCCGCTGCCACCCAGAGGGTTCTTGTTCAAATAAGATCCAATCCTGGATTTGTTTTTTTATTTTGCCCGATAGCGCTGACCAACTCTGGCTGCGGCGGCTGACAACCTTGGTGTCAATGTGAATCTTATCACGTAGCAGATTTCGCTATAAGTGCGACTAACTACGTCAACAAGCCAGCACCAGCCCTCACTGACCTATTTACACCAAGCAGAATTAACGGTGTCCAGACACATAGTATATTTATTGCGATACCTTTCGCAAGTACCAGATAACACTTGTATGCATTAGAGTTATTATGCACGACGAAAATTCAACAAATGCACACGTGTGAACAGCAACAGGCTTTACTTGCGATCGCGAATGAAACGATCTATACAAATGTTCCTATAGAATATGGCGACAAAAAAGAAAAAAAGAGCAAGGCAGCATATCACTTGGTGCACGGCGGGGGTTTGAGTAATGAGAGATTATTATGTGTTTTCAGAGTTAATAAGAACTTTTCGAAGCTCCGCAAGTGCAATGCAAATAGTTGCATAAAACGAACATTATAATTGTACATGTGAACAACGCAGACGACACATGAGGTACGCGATGTTCTAGATCAACTTTGGGGCACTGCTAATGAGCTCATGATGGTAGCGAGTTTAGAATAGCATAAGCAGGCATTACGGGTGTAGCGGGCGCCACGTGAGCTACAAAATTGACAAGCGGTGAAGCGCATCCGAATTTATACAGACGCCCTCAAATATTCCAGTCTTATCAGTGGGCGTCACGCGAGCTCTGGAATAATCTCGAGTGCTCGCGTTTTGCGCGCAAATCTTCACAGAACGATATACAATGATCGCGAACTTTCTCGAACAGCGAGGCGCCTCTTGAGCGTAGCATTCCTGAGAGGCTTTGTTGACCAAAGCCACATGAAGAAAAGGTGAAGATTGATTGATTGATATGTGGGGTTGAACGTCCCAAAACCACCATAATATTACGAGAGGTGCCGTAAAGATGTGAAGATAACGAACGACCGTGGCAGTATTGCGTGTCACTCACACAATGACGTTCTAATAACAGCCTTGAGAAGTCTTCGTAGGCTCCCCTTTTGAACCTTTCTGAAGCGTTGTCCCCTCTACAAATATCACGTCATTGCCTCGAGACTTCCCTGTTTCCCTTTTGCTTTTTCTCGCTCTCTCTGGAACTTTACATCCCACGCGACGGTACTAACAAGCAGGGCACAGTGTGTTCATTTATCCTTAACTGCATTTATTGTATTATTCATTAGTCATGTCGATTCATGTGTCACTCTAGAGCTACAAAATTCACAGGATTCAGGTGGTGTCTTCCAAAATACAATTGGAAGTACTTTCAAGAGCAGATTGACAAAAGCATCAGTGCCAGTAATAAAGAAGGACGTGCTTTTTGATAAAGAGCATTACTTCAAATTCGACACACTCTATAGCCATACGCAGAAAAACTTGGCACCCTCAGAGGTCGCTGTCGATGCATCCACCTTTGTTTAGAGATTAAAGCGAAAGCATGTAATGCGTCATCAAACTCAAAGAGTGACCATCGGCGACGTCCGGTGTCAGCGGCGTCCACACAGGTCATGCAAAAAAACATGTCATTCTGACAGGAGAACGTCAGAGAATGCAAAAATTTGGCACGTCGCTATGAAATAATGGCAACGCCCACTGACGACGTCATTCACGAAGGCAGCGCATAAGAATGTCAGATGTGAAAAGCTGACAACGCCTCCGATCCTGAAGCAGTGAAAACCGCTTTGTCTACAGGATGATTTTGTAGAACGACAGAGGCGGTGTCAATACATCTACCAAGAAGAACAAAATTATAGCTAGTATACCTTCGACTCGTTTCAGCTACATGCATACTCAGCCCAGTTTTTCTGCCATAGAGATTCTAGAAGACTTGACAATTTTACCGTTCAAAAGAGGCAAGCTTCCATTGGCTGCCAAGCTGTTAGAATTCAAGATGATGGGATGTAAAGTGCATCCAGGAATTTCTCAAGACACTGCGTTGAGAACGGAGAAGAGAAGGAAGTAAGGAATAGGAGAGTAAGGAAAGGCAGGGATGTTAACCAGGCTAGAAGGACCGGTATGCTACCCTACACTGGAGACAAGGATGAGAGAGTTTGATAAACTGATATATATATAGAGAGAGAGAGAAAGAGAGAGAGAGTGAGAGAGAGAGCATGTACACACAGTGCCGCGCATCTCACAGTCATTATAAGCCTGCCGCTGAAAGTCTGACGACTTCAACAAGTTGAGCACTGCCTTTGTCGTCTTTAGCCCCGACGACCACTCAGGATGGTAACTGCGGTGATGGTGGTGGCGTTACACACCGGGCGACTGATTACGCAGACACCCATGCATATAAAATAGACTGTGTTTCGTTTCAAAATAACCCTCGCTAGGTCCCTTGGCGCATTTTGCTCAGTCGACTCGAATGCATACGGCAACCTACTTTAGTCGTATGTCGATGTAATAACCACGAGCCACCGAATGCTTTTTGCAGCTAACGTTGTTTCGCTCCGGGATCGGAGTCATTGTAAGCTTCCTGCATTTTACGTTGTTCTGCGCTGCCTCCGGAATCGGCGTACCTTTCACCAGGCATTTATGTAATTGCGCCATCATGCGATGTCACGTGACATGACGTCGAATCGACGTCGTGAGGACGTCGCACGTTTCCTATGATCTGTGACACCGTGACAACATATCGTGACCTCTTCGCACGATGATTCCTTGCGTTACTTGACCATGTTGACGCCGCTGACGTGATCGCCGACGATGCATACCGTCGCAGGATGCCAGTCACTTTCCGAATTTGACGGGCTAATTGAGGCATTCCTCTCAAAAAGTAAGGGTAGTTTTCGAACGCTAATGGCTCACCGTGATGACGTGGGTGCAGAAAATCGCCGCCGGCTCAGCACTGTCGTCGTCATGGATGGCTTTCCATAAGACTACACGCACAAGTACATCCACTTCCTCTGACGCCAACAAGTCAGGCTCTGAAGAAAACAAAGTGATTGACTTACGTTGCGATAGAGACGTCAAAATTTCGTGTTTAAAGTGCACTGGTCGAGTGAATTCATACTAAACAGGAATGGTTAATTACGGAATGCATTATATAATAGTCTAGTTTAATTGCAGCCCTGTTACACAATTCCGATTATGTTGCAAGGTGATGAATATGGGTGTCACACGTACAACTTTGATTGCGACCAGGGCAGATCAAGACAATCGCAATCTGGTTCCTTGATAGCGATTAGACATACACCTACGCCAAGCTCGACCAAAATGATGAACCGTGCAGTAGCAAAAGTTCTTTATCGCAACCAAGAAATTTGATCCAGAGTCGCCCTCGAGGTAAAATGTTGCTGAAACGTCGATTATGGTTGCAGAGCTGGCCATCTAATTTTATAGAGATTACACATTCACTCCTATGGTACCAGCGTCACGTCGAGTTAACATCAGATGTATGCTTCAGAGCCTTCCACTGACAAGGGTGCACATTGGCGGACGAAATATTGTAGCGATGCTGAGGCAGACAGGCTAAAAACAAGCAACTTTATTAGGGCGAACTTGTGCCCACAATTCTAAAGACTGGGGTGTTCAAGTCCGAGCAGCCGAGTGGCACAGATACAACTATCTTCCTCTTCCTCATTGCCTAAGCGCACGAACGCGTGGCGCATGCCAGCCGGGTCTTGCTTGTGCTCTTGCCACGATGATTGCGGCGGGCTATTTGAACGTGGCCAACCTGTCGCAGCATTATCCCCCTCCTCAGACGCATCGTCCCGATGCTTAAGACAGTGAAAAGATACATGCGCACTCTCACTCGTTTTTTGACGATCTGTCATGATAGGGTTTCATGCGGACTACGTGTACCACTTCCGTGGGATTGCGGTGTCTTGAAGTCACGTGTCCAGCGGTTCTGACTTCATAAGTGACGTTGCTGATACGGTTGAGTACTTCATAAGGGCCGAAGTATCGGCAAAGAAGCTTTTCAGAGAGTCCGCGGCGGCGCACTGGTATCCATATCCACACTTTGTCACCGGGATGATAAAGTGCGTCACTGCGTCGCTTGTTGTACCGACTAGAATCGACGTGCTGTTGGTGGCGTATTCGGTATCTTGCCATTTGCCGTGCTTCTTCGGCTCTTTGCAAGAAGTCATCTAAGTCAGGTGGATAGCTGCTTTCGTCCTGTAGTGGTAACATGGCATCCAGCGGGGTGGTCACTCTTCGGCCGAATACTAGTTCGAAAGGAGCAACGTGGGTTGTTTCTTGAACGGCTGTATTATATGTGAATGTTACGTAGGGTAATATTTCATCCCACTGTTTATGTTCAACATCGACATACATTGATAGCATGTCGGTCAGAGTTCGGTTGAGGCGTTCGGTTAAGCCATTTAACTGAGGGTGATACGCCATTGTTCTTCTGTGATCGGTGTTTGTCATGCGCATTAGGCATTGCATTAGGTCTGCAGTAAATGCGGTGCCCCGATCCGTAATAACGACGATGGGCGCACCATGTCTGAGCACTATGTTGTTCACAAAGAACTTGGCGACTTCGGCAGCTGTCGCACTGTACAGAGAGTCAGTCTCAGCATAACGGGTCAGATAGTCTGTGGCTACGACTATCCATTTCTTGCCTGTACACGATGTCGGGAAAGGTCCTAGGAAGTCCATGCCGACTTGTTGGAATGGGGCATCTGGAGGGTCTATTGGCTGGAGAAGGCCGGCTGGTTTTACGGGTGGAGTTTTGCGCCGTTGACATTGACGACAAGTTTTCACGTAGTGCTGCACTGATGCGAGCAACTTAGGCCAATAGTATTTCAGGCGAATCCTGGCGAATGTTCGGCTCACACCCATGTGTCCAGATGTTGGCTCGTCGTGGCATGCGTGCAGAATTTCCTCTCGCATGGCTGTGGGCACGACTAGTAAAAACGTTTCACCATTAGGTTCGAAGTTCCTCCTGTAAAGGCACACTTCCTCGAAGGCAGAACGCGGAGAGCCCTCTGGAGAATATGCGAGGGACTTGAACGTCGAGACCCTGCAGGTGTTGTATAAGCGCCAGCAAATCCGGGTCATCTCGTTGTAGTTGAGCGATTTCGGATGCGTCGACAACGCCTAGAAACGGGAAGTCTTCCTCTTCAGGTACACTTGGATCGACGGGAGAGCGTGACAGGCAGTCGGCATCACTGTGTTTCCTTCCAGATTTGTACACGACCGTAATGTCATACTCCTGCAGCCTGAGGCTCCATCTTGCTAGTCGACCTGACGGGTCCTTGAGATTTGCCAGCCAGCATAGAGCATGGTGGTCACTGACAGCTCTGAACGGTCTACCATAAAGGTATGGTCGAAACTTGTTTATTGCCTAGATGACTGCGAGGCACTCTTTTTCAGTTGCAGAGTAGTTAGCCTCAGCTTTTGATAGTTTGCGGCTGGCATAGGCTAACACTTTCTCTTGACCATTTTGCCATTGGACAAGGATGGCGCCGAGGCCGACATTGCTGGCATCGGTATGGACTTCAGTGTCGGCTGTCTCATCAAAATGGGCAAGTATTGGTGAACACTGTAGTCGTTTTCTTAATTCGTCAAAAGCTTTCTGTTGTTCGCTTTCCCATGTGAAGGGCACGTCGTCTTTCGTCAGTTTTGTAAGAGGATCCGCAATCTTTGAGAAATTTTCAACAAATCGCCTATAGTAGGCACATAAACCCAAAAATCGACGCACTGACTTTTTGTCTCTGGGTGTGGGGAACCTCTGAACAGCGGCTGTCTTTTCGGGATCAGGACGAACACCATCGGAACTAATGACATGTCCAAGGAATCGCAGCTCTTCGAAGCCGAAGTGGCATTTTTCGGGTTTGATTGTCAATTTTGCTGACCGGATGGCTTCCAATACTGTGCGTAGTCGCTCTAGATGTTTGTCAAACGTTGCAGAGAATACCACCACGTCATCCAAATACACTAGGCATGACTGCCATTTCAATCCGGCAAGGACAGTGTCCATCATTCGCTGGAACGTTGCTGGTGCGGAACAGAGGCCGAATGGAAGCGCTTTAAATTCGTAGAGGCCATCTGGTGTTACGAATGCCGTTTTTTCACGGTCCCGCTCGTCGACCTCTATTTGCCAATATCCGCTTTTCAGATCTAAGGAGGAGAAAAACTTTGCGGATCGCAACCGATCTAGTGTATCGTCGATACGTGGCAAGGGGTAGACATCTCGTTTAGTTACACTGTTCAGTTTTCTGTAGTCGACACAGAATCTAAGTGTGTTGTCTTTCTTCTTAACGAGCACTACGGGGGACGCCCATGGACTATTCGAAGGCTGGATGACATCATCCGAAAGCATCTCCTCCACTTGCTTCTTGATAATTTCCCGTTCTTTCTGTGACACCCGATATGGATGCTGGCATATAGGCCTCGTGTCGTCTTGCGTTATAATTCTGTGTTTCGTGATTGACGTGCGCTGGACCTTCGAGGCACTTGAAAAGCAATCAGAGAATTCTTTTACCAAGGCGTAAATCTGTTTCTTTTGACTGTCCGGAAGGCTCTGATTGACGGTCACGGATGTGTCGATGTTGCAGGCCACTGGTCGAGTGGTTGATGTCGTTAAGCTGCATAGTTCAGTCGCCATACAGAAGTCGTGTAAATAGGCAATAGCCGTGCCTTGAGCGATGTGTTGAAGTTCATTGGAGAAATTTGTGAGTAGGACATCTGCACGGCCTTTCGTCAAGTGAACAAGACCCCTAGCTACGCAGACACCTTTGTTCAAAAACAGCCCTACATTTGTATCCGCTATGACTTCGCAGTTGTACAATGCGTCATTTTCTACGAGCACCATTATACTGCAGCGTGGCGGCACAGTTACGTCGTCATGAACAACGCGTAGAGCAGTTAGGCGTCGTTCCTCAGATTCCTCCACAGGTATAGCTCGTTCAGTCGAAAACGACACGCTGGATCTACGCAGGTTAATTACGGCGCCATTAGCTCGCAAAAAATCCATTCCTATAATGAGTTCCCTTGAACATTCTGGCAGCACAATGAAATCGGCCACGTAAATAAAGCCCCGTATTTCAAGTCTTGCAGTGCATCTGCCAAGGGGCGTAATAATGTGACCGCCTGCCGTGCGTATCTGCGATCCACTCCACTGTGTCACAACTTTGTTTAGCTTTTTCACCATCTTGTGACTTATCACTGAATAATCAGCACCGGTGTCGACTAAGGCATTCAACTCCCATCCTTCCATTCTCAACCGCAAATCTGAAGTAACGTTTTCGTTGCTGCACCCATCTACCGGAAATACACCGTCATCACCCTCAAACCATATTGGAGGATCTTCGTAACTGACGTTATCAGCGGCCTCACCTCCACAGGTCGCCTGCTTCAGTTTTCCGGGAGTGGACTTGGAGAGCGATGACCAGGCTGCCTTGAAGGTCTACGTGGGCTGGAGGACCGGTAGCGCATAGGCGATGGTGACCGTGACCGGTGTTGGCGTAGAGTTGGCGAGTTCTGGCGCGTGGACAAGTACTCCTCAATCTCCGCTGGTCGTTCGCCGTTTCGGGGGCACGGTGCATACGACGGGAAGCCTCTTAATCCAGCCTGTCGGTAAGGACAGAATCTGTACAGATGACCTGCTTCCCCACAATGAAAACACAGAGGCCTGCGCTCGTGATCACGCCAGACGTCACTTTTCCTGGGCCTACGCTTCACATAGTGATGTGTGCTACGTGCTCCTGGGGGCAGATAGGTAGCTGTTGGTTCCCGCGGACGAGGTGCGCTGCGTGCCGCAGGTGGGAGAGGAGTCGTCGCCATCGCAACTGCTGCATTGCTGTGTACGGTGGGTTGTCTGACAACCTCAGAGTATGTTCGGATAGGTCGAACCGGCTGCAGCTCACGCTCTGGCTCTCGTATCACCTGCCTCAGTTCATCACGAACAACGTCCGTAATGGATAGTGCAGTTGAAGTCTGGGGCATTTGCAGCCTGCTCAGTTCTTCTCTAACAACT